ATTTTTATTCTGTTCACTTCTTTGGCACACACCCACACATACTATTATTGTTGTGAGGGAGAATATTTCCCTACAAGTTTGGACACAGCTGTCAGACAAATGATATAAAAATACGCCTACGTCAAGAGGAGTAGCAGGATGAACAGTAGCAGCAGTAGCTTTTGCTGAAAACAGTCATTCACGGCCAAACATTCTCTTTCCTAGTTTCTATTCTACATTATGTTTCCCTGTACCAAAAGGTATTAAACTTGTTTGTTAAACCAATTCTGGTTTTCTGCTGTTGATTTTTTTGTTTTCAATAACTCAGTTGCAACATATATATATATAGAGAGAGAGAGGGAGAGAGATAATATTAGTGGTAAATATACACATACATATGCAAAATATATAGATATATATACATAGGTGCATACACATACATGTATTTTTTTTTGAATAAAAAATTCGAGAGGATAGAATCCAGGTAGAACTCAATGTCCAGGACAGAGTAAGGATATAATAAAAGGCTTAAACACTAATATTCCATGGTCATAATTTATTCCATTGGAATCATAAATACGATTCAATTCATCAGACCTACAAATTCAAAAAGAAAACAGATTCTTTTTGAATTTGTAGGTCTGATGAATTGAATCGTATTTATGATTCAATGGAATAAATTATGACCACGGAATATTAGCTTTTTTTATATATATATATATATATATATATATATATATATATATATATATATATATATATATATATATAAAATTATTCTTGTAAATAAACAATCTAATAAATTAATAGTTTATTATTTTTGTTGTAAATTCTCAAGAACAAAAAATTATAAATTCACTTTCATCATATGTTTAGGTTTTATTACAATTCTAATCATTGCTTTTTTAAAACAGCAAACATTGCCAAGGAGTGAAGGTAGTTAAAATAGTTGTGGTGTCAAGTAAAATAAAACATCCTTCTTGACAGTGTTTTTTTTTTTTTTTTTTAATTAATGAGCATGAAGGTACAAGTTTGCCATTCATCACTTATTTTATGTTTCTGACAATATTTTCAGATGTCTTATCATTTTGCTTAGTTTCTGAAAGACAATTTTTCCTATTCCTATGCACCTTCAAATTTTGACATCCCCAATCTAGATCATGCATCTTGATGTACCTCTTTTGCTTACAACTATGTATTTTGTCTTCCTACAGTTAACAGTTCTTAGATATTTTCATTATTGTCTTTTTCTAAAAATTCATACAACAATAGATAGGTCTACCTATCAACCGGTCCATACTCCTCCCCATCTTTTGAATTAGAGTGAAGGTTTATCCCTTGTTTCCTGTTTAGGATAGTATGGGGGGGGGCTTAATACTGAGGGTTAGCAGTTCTCTAGTTGCTGTATCCTGACTGATAGTAAGGAGTCTGAACTCTTAGGTAGCTCTTAGAGAGGTTGTTCAGATCAACAGTCGCATAATATCAGTGTTCTTGCATTGACATATTGCACTTGGATAGGTGTCCCTGCAAGTACTTCCAATGAGCAACTCTATGATGCAGTCTGTGCCAATTTCCAGCCAACTCATGTTGTCTTTGATGACTGGCGGCTGCTATTATTCTTGGCCTTTTCCACCTTTAAAAATATATCATAACTGTAACAAAGAAACAAAATAAAACTAAACTAGCTTGTGAAAATAGTCTAAGCCCCTTAACTTTTCTTTCTCCAACATTCATGGTATTCATACCAATTTTTGTAGTGTAGAATTGTTTCTCTTGAAACGTTCTTCAGACAACCTGACTCTGTGGAACTAATCTGAAGCCTTCAATCTCTTCCACTGAATTCTGTTCCTTGCTATCTACCTCTCTTTTGAAAGGACTCTAATTTCCACATGCATGGCCTTGGCATTTGTACTCATGAACATCTCCCATTGGAAAGGGCACTGTCTCTTTAGTCTCTGAGTTATTCTTACATATCCTTCCGACTTTCACTAGTAAACTCAGTCAGTTACTTCTTCTTCCATTGTTGTTCTTCTTCCTTTCATGACTGTTGCTTATTAGATAGAATTTCTGATAGTATAGATAAGGCCCTCTTTCTATACTAGTCTGCAAATATCTTTGTGTTTGGCAGCTTCAATGCCCATCATGTCAAATGGCTTCATCACTCTAATGCCACTGATCTCTCTGACATCCTGTTATGGGACCTTACCCATAATAACATAATGGACTATTCCATACGTAATAAATACTGTGCCTCAAGAGGAAGCAGTGAGTTCAGTCTGAAGTCTGGAGTGAGGTTCGTCAGAAGTCCATCAGGAGTCTGTCAGTCAGTCAGTCAGAGCGAGCGAGTCAGTCAGTCGAGTCAGAGGCAGTCCGAAACAGAGTCGCGTTCAGACAATTACTACAAGACATTGGAATAGTGATACTGATCGAGACTACATTGTTCTCTCTACTAAACCTGATTGTTCATACTAACACTTTCTACTTCTCTGTATATATATTCCTGTTTGTAATATATCTGTTATTCTATATCCGTGTTCGAGTTCTTCTTTATTGGTTCTACCTTGGACCATCACCGTGGTACAAGGACCTGGACCATAACACATCCAAACTCTGAATTTCAATTGCTCAATTTCTCACTCAAATAGTAGACTTCCCCAGTAATTCTAATGGACACACTCCTCTATTTGATCTGTTCCTTACCTCTTGCCCAGACTCGTGTTGTGCTCTGCAGCTCTGTCCTCTTGACAACTCTGACCACACAGTAATGTCTATATACATCTCATTACACTCCCCCGATCAAGCAAGAACACTCTTATTAACAGAATATCTTTCTCTTATCAATGTGCTGATTGGGACTTGTTTTGTGTATTCTTTTACAATGCCCCTTAGATTTATATTTTTAATCATCTGCCACCGGGATCTCTTCCTGGGTGAAAGCTGGTATCAAAAGCCTTCATGTCAGCACAGAAATACCAAATGAAACCACAATCTTCTCCTTGGTTCTCTCCTGCCTGTTCAGCTGCTATAGCCCACAAGAATCACTTCTTCCAGCTATACCAGAGTGACAGCTCCAATTGTAACAAATGACACTTAGTTACCACTCATAATGAATGTAAGTGTATCCTCAAAGATGCAAAGTCACTATTCATTGATAGAAAGAGACACTATATAGCCTCTCACAAGTTTGGTTCTAGAGATTACTGGTGGCACTGCAATAGTGCACTGATAAGAGAAATTCCTCAGTCCCTCCTCTCTTCAGTCAATTTGGATTCTCTTCCAACTCCACTCTCGATTCACCTAGAGTATTTTTGCCCAATTTCCCACAAGAACAATCTCTACTGAGTGATATGCTCATAGCTTCATCCATGGTTTCATATCATTTCTAAACTAGATCCTCACAAGGCTTGCAGAGTCAATGGCATCCCTGCAATTGTCCTATAGAAATGTGCTCCTGAACTGGCTCTTGTTCTCTCCAAACCTTACAATAAATGCCTCAGTACATCTCACTTTTCAGTTTGTTGGAAGTCCTCTGTAGTTCCTGTCTTTAAGAACTCTGGTGAACCATCTGGCCCCTTGAATTATTACCCTGTTAGTCTCTTATCTTTTTTCTGCAGAGTATTAGAGGCTCTAATCAACACCAAATTGGTTAAGCATCTTATTTCACACGGCCTCCTTTCATCTAAACAATGTGCCTTCTATTTCTCCAGTTCTACTGCCAATGTATTAATGCCTATCACTGAATTTGTTTATTGAGCTTTAGATAAGAATGGTGAAGCTAAGGCAGTGGCCCCAGATATCTTGAGGGCTGAGTTAGGCATGCTGGCCTTCTCCACAAGCCATGGTGTCTCTGGATAAATATTTGGCCTAGTCCAATCATTCCTAACAAATTGTGCAATGAAGGTCATGTTGAATGAACACATTTCTAGTTCAGTTCAATTGGTGCTTAACTGTGGCAAAGAATGACTTGTAAATGTTAATGCCTTCAAAACAAAACTGCTTTCACTTAATGACTACACAGAACCATTTCTGCCTGCCATCAGTATGGCTGATGCTAAACTCCTGGAGAGCAAAACTTTGCACCTTTTTGAACTCACTTTTTTCCACTGGCATGAAGTGGATCGATTCTATTGAATCAATTGCTAGGTCTACTGCTAGGAAAGTTGGTTCACTGTGTCATTTCAGACAATTCTTCTCATCAGAATCCATCTTGCACATTTATAAATCTACCATACATCTGTGCATTTAATACCACTGCTGCCATATCTGGTCTGGTGCATCTACTAAATTATCTCAAAATTACATACCTGAAGAAGTATTAAGTATGGGAAGCCGTTGGTATAAACCAATGGCTTCTGTTATCAATTATAGACATTTAAGGATATTTGTGGAGATTACATAACCTAACCTAAACAAAATAAACTATGTAATCTCCACAAATATCTTCAAATGTCTATAATTGGTAACAAAAGCCATTGGTTTATACCAACAGCTTCCCATACTTAATACTTCTTGAATTCACTCTCGTGTCGTCATGTGTGACGTCATGAGCTGCGATGCGATTTTCACTTCTAGCATCTTATATGCACATGTTTATCGTTGCTTGGAAATCATCCATGTAAACAATCACAGACTATCATCACTGTTTTGTATTCACGTGCTTATCATTGCTTGGAAATCATCCATGTAAACAGAAACAGACTATCATCACTGTCTTGTATACATTATTATACATGGTTAAAAAAAAGTGAGACATGATTTTTTTTATTAGAAATTTTATTATGACAAAAAGAAAAAAAAATTTTACGATTAAATTTTGCTCTCATCAAAATATCCTCCTTTAGCCTTGATTACTGCAGCACAAATTTTTTGCATTTGTTACAAAAGTTTCTCAAAGTGACCACTGAAAAGACTGAAAGATATAAAACAAAAATAACTTTTACAAACACCTTTTTTTTTTTTTTTTTTGTTTTTAATTTTTTATTATTTTATTTGGATGGAAACATTTTTAAATCCAATTTCAGAATCTTCTCAAGTGATGTTCTGGCAATACCCAGTTGAGCAGAGCAACGACAGGTAGAAGTTGATGGATCCTCAAAGACACTGCCATACAGCTTCCAGCACTGTATCAGTGCACACAGTGCACTTAGGACCTCTTCCCAGAAGATCACCAACTGATCCAGTTCTTTCAAACTGGGCAATTAGATTCCAAATCATTTTATCACTAGGAGATAATCTGATATTAAAATGTTGCCAGTATTTTCTCTGAGTTTGAGTAATTGATCTTTCATTGGAATAGAAAAACTCAATGCATTTTACTTAATGCAGAACATCATACATAGCCATTTTAATCTCCAAGGGGTGCTTTATAACCTGCAAAAAAAATGAAAAAGAAAATTAAAAAAATTGAAAAACCAACAAGTTTTTCAATGGCCACCCTGTATAAGTTTGATAATTGATTCCATTCTTTTTACAATGACTCTAAGATCTCTTTTTCACTTTTTGGAGGGAAAGGTTTCACTCTTCTCTCAAGTTCATCCTGTGCTAATTCTGGGGGTGGCTTCAAACTTTTGAACTGTATTGTATAATGAAAAGCACTCTCTAGTTTCCTTGGAGTGATTTAAAATCCATCAACACCAAACAACTGATACAGATAAAACAGACAGACAACAGGCAGTTAGACGTCCTCTTGAATTCTGGACAATGGGGTGATAAGGTATCTAATTTAATTTGATTTACAATTACTACTTATCCTCAGAGATACCAAGGAATTTTCTCTAATACACAGTTATGTCTTTCTGTCTTTCTGTCATTCTAACCTGAGGAAGCCAAAGAGGACAGATGCTCTGGCGAAATGCATTGTTAATAAATTTTCCAGTTTGTCTCATCATCTCAGTTATATGTAAGAATTTTATGCTGTATGCAAAAATACTGTTTGGGGCAACCTCAGAGTAATTAAGCTACCATAATAAGTAAAAAAAAATAAAAATTTTCATTCTTATTTCCTCTTAAGATGAAGTATGTAGACTCTTTGAAATTGTTTGTGCATCAGCTGTTCTGTCATTTTCAGATGTGACGTTTCAAGTTGATGATGGGATGGTTCACGCCCACAAACCTCTACTCATGGCACGATGTGAAGTAATGTATGCTATGTTTAGTGATGATTTCCTTGAATCATCAGCCAAAGTGGTGAGTTTGATGTCTATATATAATTAAATAAAAATATTACCAGAATGTGGATCTTTACTAATTAGTAAAAAGCAACAAAATGTATGAAATATTCATGTTATCATTTTCACTTTACATTTTAATAAAACTTTATTTATCCAAACAAAAAAAAAGTATCAATTTAAAGCATTTCAGGTTTAGGTTTAATTTGGTATGGTCATGGGAAGTGGTAAAAAACCTATCCTCATGTTTAAAAAAAAAACTTAAACTGTATTAAAAACTTGTTCTGTATGAGAACATATTAAACATTATTTGACAAAAAAAGATTTATTTTTGATTTTTAAATTAGTGTTGATGTTTTGAAAAAAATTTCAGCAGAAAGTTAGTTTTTATGATGTCACTATTAAATACAGCATTTTTCTTAGGTTGAGTCATTGATTTTCATTTTTGGGAACCAATTTTAGTGATGAATGTATCATCTGATAAATCTTTCCCATGAAACAATTTTTCTGGAAAATAGATATCTCAAATCCAGTGTTATCGCTCTTCCAGTATTGATGAAGGCTTCCCTCCTAACCTTTTGTTTGAAGTAGTGTGATATGTCAACATTTTAATTATGGCATTATTTTCTCTTCAGGTTACATGTGCTATTCATTTTAGATGTTACTGTTGTTGGTAGTCCTCAAGTGATGTGGTTTCTGTTATTTGCCACAGTTTGTGATTTTGTGGCACAAGTCATGAGGTTTGAACAAGGATGGTCCTTACCAAAACCGACACACTTCACTTGCTCAAAGCCATTTATAACCATTGATCTGTGAATGTGGTTGTATACAGCTTGACTCCATGGATGGGATCCATATGAAATCTTGATCTGAGGAGACAATTTAATGACTTGAGATTTTAGGTTAAAGTCTATGTTTTGTATATTAAATATATTTATCCACAGAAATCGGAAATCTTCAGTACACAATAATATTTTCCCTCTCAAAAGAATAGAAAAAAATTTAATTTTTATTTTTTTATTTTTTGTAAATATTTTTATAAATCCCACACTGAAATTTAATGAATAAGATCTAAAAATATTTCTTAATTATTTTTTTACCTTTTCAAAAGAATTTTCTAAACATAGCTTAAATGTTGCACAAAACGAAATGTATAGGGCACCCAGTGAGGATCAAACTCACTATTAAGTCATAATTGATCTAGCGAGACAAGCTTTTTAACCATTGCACCATGTCCAAGTGCCCAAGTGTATATGGTAATTTTCTAAACATAGCTCAGATGTGGCACAAGGTCAAAAGTATGGCACACCAGTGAGGATCGAACTCACTATTAAGTTATAATGGATCTAGTGAGACAAGCTTGTTAACCATTTCCACATGTCAAAGTGCTCAAATGTATATGGCAGTTTTCTAAATGTAGCTTAGTTGTGGCACAAGGCCAAAATTATGTGGCACCAGGTGAGGATCAAACTCACTATTATGTCGTAAATGATCTAGTGATTTAAATTTGAAATAGGATGATTTGTTTCATTAAAAAAACAAAAAAAATGAGGATTCAAACTGAATTTTGGGAAACTGTGTTTACCCTTTGCATTAGCCAAGATTTTTGTGGAGAATGAATTTAAAATAGGGTGATCCGTTTGATAAAAAATACTGAAAACCACAAAAAGAACAATTTTTGTTTTTTATTGTTTTTATTCTATATAAGGTGGCAGGGAAAAAAGCAACTCTCAAAATAAAAAATTTGAACTGTGTAGTAATAAGCAAAAGAAGGTTTTTCTTACAGATACATTTAATGAAAATCTCTTTATCCAAAGTTTTAATTTGCATGAATAAGTGAATTTAATTATGAATGAGGTCTCTTTATATGGATTTTACAAGCATCCTATTCAGTTTTTTTTTATTCACACAATGACAAGACCTATTCCCAAAAGTACCATAGCAGTAGCAGCAGTGGATGGCGTCTAAAGGCAAATAACTTGACACAACCTATCCCACTTTGGGCTGTTTTAGAATTTTGTATTTTCTTTTTCAGAGACTCATTACTACCCAGTCTAGAGTTAGAGAAAGATGTTTGTGCCATTTCCCATGACATTGATAATGGTAATGGTATTATTAACCGTTTCCTTATAAGGCATTTATTGACTCTGCAGCTAGTTACATTTTTTTTCACTCCCTGACCATCGAGCCAGGATCAAAGGGTAATATCTGTTCTCCTCATCTCTAATGGTAATATTAACTGTATCCTTATAAGGAAACATTTTGCATTCATTGACCGAGCAGCCAGTGCTACTTGAGTTACAGTTTTCCCTAAATTTAGATTTTATAAAATATTTTTGTGTTTATAAACCTGTGCCCATATCAGACAGCAGATTTTTGTGGATTGAAAAACAGATAAAAAAGAAGCTGAATTTTATAAGGTTCACATCACCCATCTATTCTTGTCAATGTTATTTTATGAATTCAAATATACTCAGAGCTAACAAAGAGATTAATTCTTTTTCTATTCTTCTATGTGCCATGTTCTTTGAGGATGTGGTTCATCATGGTTCTCCACAACATCTTATCTCAAGAGCATTGATAATAGTACCGATAATATTAACTATTTCCTTATAAGGAAACATTCAGCATTTATTGTCTGAGCAGCCAGTGCTACTTGAGTGAGATTATTCTTCACTTCCTAACCATTGGGCTGGGATCAAAGAGTAGTATCTGTTCTCCTCATCTCTAGTGGTAATATTAACTGTATTCTCATAACAAAATGTTTTGCATTCATTGGCTGAGCAACCAGTGCTATGGAACTTGTCATTGTGTGAATAAAAAAAAACTGAATAGGATGCTTGTAAAATCCATGTAAAGAGATCCCATTCATAATTAAAATCATATATTCACACAATTGAAAACTTTAGATCAAGATATTTTGCTAGATGCTTTCTTTTATTATTTGATGTTTACTTAGTTCAAATTTTTGTTTTGGTGTCTATCTTTTTTCTGTCCCCTTAACCCTAGAACACTAACCAAGGGTATATAGTACCCAGCGCAAATTTTCCTATTTTTAATTACAATTTTCAGTACCTGATTTTCTTACCTAAATAATATATTTTTCAGTTCCTATTAATGTTAACTCAAAGTACAAAGTTTGAAGTGCCTGCTTGTACACTATTACCCAAAAAGATTTATATTTAATATTTGTTTTTGATATTTTCAAAATCAGGTATGATATACCCATGGTTAGTAGTGATGTAACTTTAATTGATGGTTAGTGTTCTATGGTTAAATACAACAAAAACAAAAAAACATTGTTATTGTGGTTTGTCAGTATTTTTATCAAACAAATCACCCTATATTAAATTCATTCTCCACAAAAACTTGGCTAATCCCAAGGGCATATAGATTCCCAAAAGTCATTTTGAATCATTATTTTTAATCTCTCTGCACATTTCTCATCGTCAATTGACCTTTGACGAGAAAGGCCCAATAAACCAGTTTGACTGCTTTTTTGTTCCATGTTTCAATGTTACTACTTTACAGTAAATTTTTTTTCTGTCACCTCATTTTTGTTTATTTTCTTAATTTTTAACATATTCATTATACAAATAAAGAAATTGCAATTGTTTTTTTTCCATAGAAGGAAAATTCTCTCATTTAATTTTTAGAATAAATAAAATTGTTTTTATATTCCCTATAAGATATAAAGAATATAAAACCAATTTTTTTTATTTAGTCAAAACCACAAAATTAACCAAAATGATAAAATTAGTTTGTTTAACAATGAATTATTTCTGTTTGTTAAAAAGGAAAAAAAATTTTCAAATTTTAAGAATGCTTTTAGAACACACTGTATGTTTGCAAATTGCTTTAATTAAATATTTGAAATATAATAATATTGGAATTTTAATATAAATAGGCAAATGAAATACATAAATATTTCTAAAATTTCCCATGCTGACAAGCCAATGGCAGTTAAATTATTATCTTAAAAAATCTACTGTTTGTTGTTTGAGAATTTTAGAAAATCATTTTTATGTTTATATTAGAAACAAAGTATCATTATTTTTGTATAACATATTAAATTTCAAAAAGTATTTTTATTGGCTTAGTGCTTGTATTGCAATGAGTTGGTTTTCTCAAATGAACTTAGAGACTCACAGGAGTGGTGAGAAGGATAGCCAAAAAAAACAGGCTAAGCTGTGAAGGTGCAACCCAAGATTTTCATGCACTTTTCTCGTACTTATCTTCCACTACCTCTTCTTCCACATTCTTCTCTTTAAGGGAATTCTAAAATATGAGAAATTCTTAATGCGTGAAAACAGGAAACAACAAAGTTTTACACCAAAAATGAATAAAAATGTTAGAAAAAAGGGGCAGAATTTAAGAATAAATACTTCTATGAAAAAGTTAGAAAAAGGCACAATTTTACAATAAATACTTCTATGAAAACATTAGAAAAAGGCACAATTTTACAATAAATACTTCTATGAAAAAGTTAGAAAAAAGGCACAATTTTACAATAAATACTTCTATGAAAATGTTAGAAAAGGGCACAATTTTACAATAAATACTTCTATGAAAACATTAGAAAAAGGCACAATTTTACAATAAATACTTCTATGAAAAAGTTAGAAAGAAGGCACAATTTTACAATAAACACATCTATAAAAAAATGCCCATTTTCTTTTGACACCACTTCCCAAAACTGATTCTTCTTTGATAACATGAACATCTCCTTCTGTGTGCATGCGTGTTTATGCTGCTTTTACCAGAAGGCTTTCTTTACAGACTGAATCCACCGTAAAAATTTTATATAAAAAAAATTGTTCAAACAACAAAAATTCTGGAAATTTCTACACAGACATTATATCTGAATATTAAGAATTTTGTACAAGACTTCTCTTCCTTTTATCATTGTTTTTTCAAGATCCCATTTCCAGGAATCTGCCAGGATGCATTCAAAGCCCTCCAGGAGTACCTCTACACAGGTGAGACACCATGCATGACAGGATTGAACTGTATGAATTTAATTGAAGTGGCCAACCGCCTCTGTTTGCCTCGCCTTGTTGCCCTTGCTGAAGAGTTTGTGGTCCAAGAGCTAAGCAAAATGGATGAAGCCAATGCTGACATTATGGAAGAAGTTTTTTGCATTCTGGAAACAGCTCAGGTGAGTTGCATTCCTCCTCATACCTTATTTATTTTTCATTAGAATCCAATCAGTATCTTAAATAATCAAAGCAGTTGGTCCTGAATTTATTCACAAATGCATATTGCAGCATTGCAGCTCAGATCAGACACAAGGTTTGTTCACAGGGTGCATCTTCTTCCAGTTGCTTGTGGCTTAATCTAAAGATAAAATTGTTTGGCTGGATTGTTACTCAAGAAATAAAACCATGAGACATAATTGTAGCAGTTGGCAAATTTTATTCCATTGTCACCTTCTTATAAGGACTGGCTGCATGCACACGAGGAAAAGTGTCCTCTCTTTTTAGGCTACTAGGGACAACTGTCTTATAGAGAACCATCCTTCTTTGTCCTATCAGCTGTCATTTATTAAGAACCCAAGGTTCTTAGTCCACTCAACTCAGCTGACTTTTTTTGTCATGGTCAGCTGACTTTATTCTTGAGATGTCCACTCAACTTAGTTGACCTTCTTTGTTAAGACAATAATTTAATGTTTATAACATCATGCAGATGTCTCTTTAATAAGATATCAGCTGATATCACAAAATCATGTTACTTACTAAAACTCAGACATGCAAAACTTAGAAAGATAGGGTTCAGTTCATAGCCTTTTGTAGTTAAGACAATACTGCCATCTTTAGTATCACCAACAATTTAATGATTTTGAAGCATATAAAAATAATAAAAATTTCTTATAAGGTTGCAGTTAATATTTATTTATGATCAGCTATGAGAAATCCCTTGCAGTTTTAATTTTTTTATACTTTCACCCCAAGCAAGGGGATAATGCTACTAATGCAAGGGGCTACTAGGAGTGGAAAAGAATGAGAAAACTTTAGTAATGAAAAAGGACAATAAAATAACTGAATTCAGGAAGACAAAAAAATGGCATTTTATGTGACATTTTAATTTTTGAAGATTATAGGTGGCTGGGAAGCATGAAACCGGAAGAGTTCCAGATGTGAGCAGTACAAGAAAAGAAACTAGTTGATCAGCTATTGGAAATCCTTTGCCGTTCATCAGCTGTTGAAAATCCTTTGCAGTTGTTCAGCAGTGTGGCGTCCTTTGCAGTTGTTCAGCAGTGTGGCATCCTTTGCAGTTGTTCAGCAGTGTGGCATCCTTTGCAGTTGATCAGCAGTGAAACATCCCTTGCAGTTAGATTTTTAGCAGCAACAACAGTTAAAATGGATAGCATAAATAATGATATAATCAAGATGTTGATGTTCCACACTACTTCAAACAAAACATTAGGAAGGAAACCTGGAAAGAACAATAACAGTTACTGGACTTGGGAAATATATTTTCCTTAAAAATTGTTTTAAGAGAAAGATTTTTATAAATTTTGACTGACAATATCAGTTGCCGATCGGTCAGTGAATGCTGAGTGTTTCTTTATTCCTAACTTTTTTCAGGCAAAATTTTGATCTGTTGTTGGCTGTGTTTTTTAGGATATAATCGTGTAGGTTCTTCTAGATCAGGGGTCAGCAACATCATCTCCTGGGCTACATCCAGCCCACGAAGGATTTTTATCCGGCCTGCCAACTTAACTATAACTCAACTCAACTGCCATACTCTTTATTTCCTTTTCATTCCAGAAGTTTTCCATGTTTGAACAAAAAAACAAACCCTGTGGAAACTAAGAAAAGTAAAGTGGATTTTGAGTGCTTAGCTATGTTTTCATTGAGCACTTTGGAAAATGTGTTTGCTTAATTTTTCAAGAAACAATTGCCATGAAGAAAGTTTCTCCATAGCAAGGTAGCCTTCTGGACAAAGCAGTCTGAGGTCAAGACAATTTATTATAGTACATTTGATATTATGGCCCTCCTCCGAGACACTGCATAGCTGTCTGGCTCCCTCCATCCAAAAGATTGCTGATCTCTGTTCTAGATGATATAATCATGCATAATTGTTTTTCATTGTTTCTGTATATCATCGGTTTTCAAACTTATCTTATTAATGCGATTTTTTTTTTCTTAGCATATATGATGATTCCTTTTAGTCTGCATAAATTCTAGTGGTGCGCTTTGTCAATTATAGCAACCTTTCCTGATTTTGTGCTCACTTCTTGAATTACATCCCTTCAATTCTTCTTTTGAGGTTAGCAGATGACATGTAAAAGGACAAGGGAGATAACTGAGAGATTGGAATCTGACAAAATGAAATACTAGATATGTGATAGCCTCAAACTATTTTAACTTATTTTTCTTGTCTTTGGTTATGTGAAAATAAAATTGTTTTAACCTCTTTTTTTTTTTTTTTCTAAAATCTAAAAAAAAAAATTATCCCATTATATATTTCTGTTTCCAGCTTCACAATGCAATTCAACTTGCAAAATGGTGCCTACATTTCCTGTGTGTCCACTTTTTGGATATCTTTCCACAGTATTCCAAGTTTTACAAAAATCTCAGTCTGGAGAATCAGGTCTACATTAATAGTAATCGTTGGCCACCACAGTGGTAAGTAAAAATCAACAACCATTATATATTATACAAATTATGTACAGTATTAATATCATTTTGTACTTTGTCATGAGCTCTGAATTTTCATTGCTATTCAGTAAATTTGACTTATGAGTAGAACACTTACTGGATAATGTGTTGGTCATTTTGCACAAGAGAGATCAGTAAGTCAATAAGTTATTTCCATACTTTGTGGAACACAGTTTGAAAAATATGATTATTACTTATATGATCAAAAATGTATATTATCAAAAAATATATTAATTATAATATTATAAAAATATATTTATTTCCTATATTATCAAAAACATTATCAAAAAATATATTAATTATAATATTATAAAAATATATTTATTTCCTATATTATCAAAAATATATTATCAAAAGATATATTAATTATAATATAAAAATATATTTATTTCCTATATTATCAAAACATTATCAAAAAGTATATTAATTATAATATTATAAAAAATATATTTATTTCCTATATTAACAAAAAATATATTATCAAAAGATATATTAATTATAATATAAAAAATATATTTATTTCCTATATTATCAAAAACATTAAAAAAATAAATTAATTATACTATTATAAAAAATATATTTATTTCCTAGATCATCAAAAACATCAAAAAATATATTAATTATAATATTATCAAAAAAATATATTACTTATAATATTATCAAAAAATATATATTATAATATCAAAACATTATTTATATCAAAAACTGAAATAATGCTAGCAGTTTTTTTCAACATCATGGGTAAACTGACTAATAATTACACTATTTCATCCAAGTCATTTTAATGACTGTTTAACATAAAAACATAAAAAAAAGTTGTTTTCTTGTCTTTGATTATAACATTGTTATTGATAATCATAGTTTATACATGATATAAATGTATATATATATATTATATTCACTTTTATGAAAAAAATCCCAGACTTAAAAAGATTTTTAAAAACAACAAAGATCTCAAATTTGTTGTCTGAACTTCTAGAATGAGGAGGCATCATTACTTGTATTGTTTACATTCAGATTAATATCTTCATCTTTAATGTTATTATCACAATGTTTGGCTTGAGGGCACAACTGCTTCCTTCAGATGTCAAATAACTGAGCAATACTAAATAAGAACAAGATGAGATATCCCTAGACATGGACAATGGAGTAAGAACAATCTATTTCTGTAGATTAAATAAAGTGTTCAGTTCAAAACTCCCTGAATGTTACCAGAGTCAACAGACTCCTGAAGAAGACCAGAGAGCACAATAGCTGAAATGTTGTGATAATAATAACAAAGATGAGGATATTTGTCCAAATTATGTAAATAATTAATTGCAGGTTTTTAAAAATTAACTACACTCAGTTTGTTAAATGTTATTTCAGCGATAGGTAGATGATGGCAGTCACCAAGTTTGACTTAAAGTTAATTTCCGAGTTTGACAGATCGGCGTCCAGTCTTCCAGCGGTTGAATGGATAGAGAAGCTGGAACTCATATGTAGGCTATGTGGGGTGAAGTCTTTGAGGCACATGATCACTTTGACACTCAGGGCTGAAATAGCTTGTGTTCTGGTTTTCACACATCCACACATTGAGATCACCTCCCTCAATTGAGAAGAAACTGGTGTTATATAGGTCTCCCAATTCCAGACCCACACTGACTATTGGCTAATATATACCTGTTATCGTTCATATGCAAATAGTCAGTGCCACTTACTGTAAGTAGAATGTCTTCTCTCAACAGCCAATTGTGGAAGAGTACATAACTTCCAGTGCTTACAGCACCACATGCAACCAACTCTGAGTCTCTTATCAGGTTGACCTGATTCTCTGTTACAACAAATTATTTTTTGTTATTGGTTCGGGGTCAGAGTGTATATGTATATCTAAAAAAAGAGAAGTTAAAAAAAAAAATTAAATAAATAAAAACTAAAAAAATGTAAATGCATCAAGAGACTGGTTTGTTACTTCACAGAGTAGTAAATTTATTTGTGACCTCTATAAATTCAGACATCATCATTAATAAAAGATCATCATCAGCAAAGAAAATAAGTTTATTATTATTGCTTTAGATATTTGTCATTTGTTACCAGAAATTGACTTCCCGTTCTCCGACAGATATGTAAAATAAAAATAATTCAATTCAAATCTCTCTGAATGTTACCAGAGTCAGCAGACTCTTGAAGAAGGCCAGTGTGCACAATGGCTGAAACATTGTCATACTAACAACAAAGATAAGTACATTAGTTCAAATATAAATTATGTAAATAATTTATTATATGCTTTTAGAAGTTAATCATACTCAATTCTTTAAATGTACAGAAGGATATTTTGTGCATGTGTGTGTGTGTGTTAAAAAAAAAAAAATTAATCAGATAGTTTATTATTTCATAGTGTTTAAATAGGGGAGGTACGGTAGAGTAATGGATAGCATCACGGATTGAGGAATTGGAGAGCTGAGTTCAAATTCCAGTCGCATCCATTACATTCACTTACGTGCTAATACCCTTGGGAAAGATATGAGTATTCTTCTTCTCTCATCTGTTATGGGTAAATAGCAAGACAGACTGGATTCCATAGCCTTGGATGACAACTGGTCTACTGCAGAAAGAAATGGCAACCTACTGCAGGAAAAAATCTGCCTCGTCAGTCATGTATCAAAAGATACATGACCACCTAAGCATGTATCACACATGCCATATAACTGATTGAGTGTTTAAATTCATTTGTGGCCCTTGGAAAGTTGCAAATAAATAAGAATTGTTTTGGCAAAGAAAATAAAGAAGTTACCATCTTACTGTTATATTTAGCATTTTTCACTAAAAACTGTTTTCCCATTCTGTGGCAGGTACGTAAAAGAGATGGAATTGTTTCAACGACTTGTCAACAGTCCCTCCAAGAAGCAGCAACGACAGAAACAGCAACAATTCAGTCGATGGACGCGCTGCACAAGTAGCTGCCTCTGCTTCACCCGGCGCCACAGCCGCACCAGCATCACTGACACAGTGGAGCTGCCCAACACCTGACCACAGTGCCAGCAGCCATCATTCGTCTCACTGCTGCTAACACTGCTGCTGCCGCTGCTGCTGCTGCTGTCTGCTATTCGCTCTTACAGTGTCAACCCTGAACACCTTAACCAACAACATTACCAACAACAACAACTGAAACAATGCCATGCTCACTTTCACCTCCAGAACAACAACAACAACAAATATAATAATGACAATAGAAATTACATTAAAAAACTTTTGCAAAGACGGTCACCCTTGAGGTGTTTTTGCCAAGCACTCTTACCCTCAGGTTTCCAGTCTTTGTCTTTTTATAATCCACCTCTGTGTTCTTGTCAGGTTCCATAAAAAGTCAAGCCAGATCAGAGCTATTCCTGTTAGTCATTGAACAAATCTTAAACTGCAAATGTTGTTTTCACATCAGACTAGCCAGACTGTCTATGGGTCTTTTGACAGCATTTTCTTTTTTTTTTCTTAAATTGCTGTGACAGCCAGCATTTCCCTAGCCGTGGGGAAGATAATGACTTGTCAGATCTAACGCAGTGTTTCCCAACCATTTCTAAATAGTGAGGACTTTTTTCTTTTTATTTGAACTTTTCTCAAGATTTAGAAATTTAAAGTAAAAAAATAACAGAAAGTAAACTCTTTACATTATTAGGACTATTGTCCTCATCTTTGTCACCATATTTATTACAACGTTTCAGTTGTTGTACCCTCCGGCATTCTTCAGGTGGTTGGAATGTCAAACTGAACCCTTTATTTCGCTCACTGGGGTAGACTGTTCTAGTTCCACGTGCCATGTCTAATGGATGTCAATTATCAATTATCTCCTGTTAATTCCCCTCTCCAAGTTCTCCACTGCCTTAACCAGATATTGAACTCACACTCTGTGCCATATGTTCTCAAGAACACCTGGCAGAGTGTATAAAGGCATTAGTTAGATCCAGTGACAGGACCCAAAGAGTGTGAGTTCAATACCTGGTTAAAGCAGTGGAGGGAATTAAGCAAGAGATAACTGATAACTGACATCCATTAGACATGGCACGTGGAACTAGAACAGTCTACCCCAGTGAGTGAAATAAAGGGTTCAGTTTGACATTCCAACCACCTGAAGAAGGCCAGAGTGTACAACAGCTGAGTTATTGTAATAAATATGGCTACAAAGATGAGGACAATAGTCCGAATAATGTAAATAGTGTACATAATACCTCATCTCAGAAATATAGACAGATACAGAAAGTAAACTGTTTTTCTACAGATCCAATTACAGTTTCTCATCTTTTTTCTTTCAAGATAAATTTAAACTTAGCAAACTTTTTTTTTAATTTCATTAAAGGATAATTTGAAAGTTTAAAATCAACTTCATACTTTCATCTCTCTATACAACCCAGAAGAATATAAAAGTTTATTTAAAAAAATGAAAACAGAAACAGTTTTCCTACACATCTTATTCTGATGTTTTATTTAATTTCTTTTTCTTTTTTTACAAGTTTATTTTTTCTTTAACTTTACAAACTTTTTTTATTTTGTAAGAGGAAAATTTAATATTCTAAAAATTAACTTCATTTTTTCTTATCTCTACCTAAACAAATAGAATGTGAAATTTTATTTTTTTTAAATTACAAAAAAAAACAGCTTTTCTACAAATTTTTATAATCTTCTATTTAATTTCTCCATTATTTTCTTTTTTTAACAAGTTAAGATAACTTTTCTTTAGTTTTGCTGCAAACTTTTTTTTTTATTTTGAATGAGAAAGCTTTAATAATTTAAAATCAACCTCAGACCTTCATATCTCTATCTAAACAAATAAAGTAGATGTCACATTAAAATAGGCAACTATCAGCTAAGCTCAGGGTGCATCAGTTACATACTAAACTTTCCTTTCATATCATGAGCAGACAATCAGATTTTGTGATATATAGTCATAACAAATATTATAATACACAGATTCTAGGAACAAAACGTTTCAGCTTTTAGCCAAAGCAGCCATATTGCAAGCCACTTTTTTGCCCTTGAAAATGTCTAAAATTAAATCACTGATTTTATATGACCTCATGTCCTCTTGTGTAAGGTCGGGGGTTGACACATATTGATTGGGAATCACTGACTTAATGTATCAATCTATTGCCCACAAATGTTCTAATTTTTTATTATTTATTTTTTAGAATATTGTTGGATTAATATGTATGTATTTTTGTGATATATATATATATATATATATATATATATATATATATTGTGTGTATTTAGAAAATGTTCTTTAAGGCAAGACATTTTGTGTTGATTAATTTTATTGATCCACTTTTCCAAATGACAAATAATCCTTTTCATGTAAGGAGGAAATTTCATCAAATATTGTCCAATGTTCATTTTGGAAGAAATAAAAAAAAAAAAAAAATATCACCCACACATACATCACAACACTTTCTGACCACACTTTGGCTACACTTACCATTTGTCTCTACCTACACTCATGATGACTTAAGTCAAAAGCTTGGAACATATTTTTTACTAAATGAACTTTGGACAATTTCTGACAGAATTTTCCTCCTTATCTGAGAAGGATTATTCATAATTTTGAAAAGTTGATTAATGAAATTAATCAACACAAAATGCCTGTCTTTAATAACATTTGCCTTAAAGAATAATATATATATATATATATATATATATATATATATATATATACATATATAAAGTATATGGTTGTAATAAAATTGATAGAAGCCTTACAGGAATTAAAATCTATGGTAGAAAGTAATTCACCAGTTTTGGATAGAAATATTTAAATCGGAAACAAACCAAAAGAATACAATAAACCTTGTACAGATGGCTTCTTGTTGGTAAATGTTTCACCTGTCTTTCTTTGTGATTACTAGCAGTTAAGTCCCTGCTGAGTAGGTGATGTTCCTCATCATAGATGTTTCACCTTTAATACCAGTTTTTCAGTGCAAATCAGTTTAGGCATGTGAGTGACCAGTTATCCTCCATTTTCCCTTATAATGATGGTTCCATGTTACATAATTATCCATCCAGGAATTGTTCTGGTTGGCTATTTCATCATTTTTTTTTTTTTTTTTTTTTTTTTTTGGTGCTGCCTTGCTTTTGGTAGCAATCTTGTTCGTGAAGAAGTTAGAGATGAGGGGACAGCACTGACATTGTTCTTAGATACCAATGCTCTCTGTTCACTGGATTCACAAATTTTAGCATTTGTTTTTGTTAGCTTTAACTTATATTGAGAAAACTGCTTTCTTTTTAAATCTTTTTAAATTATCTAATATTAGTCTTGCTCCTCTTTTTTTTTCCAACTCCCCCACTTCAATTTTCAATTTCTTTTCCCGTTTCTACTGCATCACACTCATTTTCTTTCTTCTTTCTCTTCTCTTTTATCCCACTTTTCTCTCTTTCCACATCTTCAAATCCCCTTGTCCACTTGTATACTTGAAGGTGAATAATTAGCACCACCCACATAATAAAATCCAGAAAAACTGGAAGAAGTTTTTACATATACCTTCTTGTTCTTCCCCCACACTTTATTATTACACTTTTCTTTTTTCTTTTTGCTCATATATTCTCTTCTCTTGGGCACTTCAATGTGTTGTTCTTTTGCTAGTTCAATTATGACTGAATAGTGAATCCAATTCTCACTTGGTGCTCCACACTTTTGGCCTTGTGCCACATCTAAGCTCGACTTAGAAAATCATTATGGACACTTTAACATGGTGTAATGGTTATCAAGCTAGATCAAATATGACTGAATAGTGATTTCTATTCTCACTGGGTTCTCCAGACATTCAGCCTTGTGCTACATCTAAGTATGCTTAGTAAATCGCTATTGGTTACTTTGACATGGTGTAATGGTTAACAAGCTTATCTCACTAGCTCAATTACGACTGAATAGTGTGTTTGATCCTCACTGGGTACCCCATACTTTCGGCCTTGTGCCACATCTAAGCTACGCTTAGAAAACTACATGTTCTCTTCCCTCTTTTTATTTTATTTTTTAATAATACAAATTAAATTCTTTTTTCTTTCCTCTCTTTTCTTTTTGATTGGTTTGTTTTTTACAGCTTATCAACCTTTCCTTATCAACATTCATATCTGAATTCACCAGCAAAAGGAATTGTGTCTCTTCAACATTATCTGACCCCAATAATTAATCATTTTTTCAAATAATGTCCAAGGGAGGTAACCCTACGAGGGCAGGTCAGATTGTATTATGGTAGCCCATACAAAGAGAATTAATGAATGATCCTGCTTGATTAGCATTTTAAAGCATTCTTCAGAAACTCTTGTTTCATCACTGTCCCCAATTGATGCCTTCAAAAGACTGGAAATGGAAAACAGTAGTCTCTCTCCCAAAAGAATGTAAATTAAAAAAAAAAACAAAAAACGCCCTTGCAATGTTGTACTTGTATGTACAGAAATATGGACATTTTTGTGAAGTAGTAGGCACATCCAATTTTTTTTTTTTTTTGCATGTTTCATGCAGCCTTGTTCTTGCTAAATTGCACTGTTTTCATGTGTGTCTGATAGAGGCAAATGGAAGCCAATAAAGGAAGAAATAGCAAAGTTATTGTTTCTCTTACAGTATTATTTGGTGCTAGCGACTTCATGAGATTAAGGAAAAAGGGTACCAATCCTACATGTATCTGTCATCTATAGAGTAATGTTGGACCCTGTGTTGTAGGCTAGCTGTAACTGCTAGGCCTTGATGTGTTGTAGTTTGTAATGTTGTCATATGTGGAATCTTTGTAATGTTGTCATATGTAGAATGTCATATGCTCTGCTATGCTCTTGGCCTTATCTTTGTCATCTTCTTTTGCCACTGTTCTCTTGTTCTCTATGTATTGTACTTTTTTTCTTTTTGTTTTTGGATTCATGCAGGTAGGAGGAAAAAAATGACATCTTTTTCTTTCTTTTTTGATTCATGCAGATGGGAGGAAACAAAAATGATATCTTTTCTTTCTTTTTTTTATTCTTTCTTTTTATCTTTTTTTTTCCCCCTTTCCTTATTTTTTTTCTTTGCTTCATACAAATAGGAGGAAATAAAAATATTTTTTACTTTTTATTTTTCTTTCTTTTTTCTTTTCTTTTCTTTTTTCTTTTCTTTTCTTTTTTCTTTTCATTTTTCCTTTTCTTTTTTCCTTTTTTTTCCTTTTTCTTTTTTCCTTTTCTTTTTTTCATTTTTCCTTTTTTCTTTTTTCCTTTTTCTTTTTCCTTTTCTTTTTTCCTTTTTTCTTTTTTCCTTTTCTTTTTTCCTTTTTCTTTTTCCTTTTTCTTTTTTTCCTTTGCTTTTTTCCTTTTCTTTTTTCTTTTTCTTTTTTCCTTTTTCTTTTTTCCTTTTTTTTCCTTTTTCTTTTTTCCTTTTTCCTTTTCTTTTTTCATTTTTCCCTTTTCCTTTTCTTTTTTCCTTTTCCTTTTTTCCTTTTTCTTTTTCTTTTTCTTTTTCCTTTTCATTTTTCCTGTCTCTTTTTTCTTTTTCTTTTTTCCTTTTTCTTTTTCCTTTTTCTTTTTTTCTTTTTTCTTTTTTTCCTTTTTCATTTTTTTCGTTTTCTTTTTTTCCGTTTTCTTTTTTTCCGTTTTTTTCCTTTTTTCCGTTTTTTTCCTTTTTCTTTTTTTCCTTTTTTTCTTTTTTCCTTTTTCTTTTTTCCTGTCTCTTTTTTCCTGTCTCTTTTTTCCTTTTTTCTTTTTCTTTTTTCCTTTTTCTTTTATTTCCTTTTTCTTTTATTTCCTTTTTCTTTTTTTTCTTTTTTCCTTTTTCTTTCTCTTCTTTCTTCCTTTTTCTATTTCTTCTTTTTTTCTTTTTCTTTTTTCTTTTCTTTTTTTTGATTCATGTAGATAGGAGGAAACAAATTATAAAAATGACATTTTTTTTATTTTTTTTATAAAATAAAGAAACCATTATTTACTATCTTAACCCTGTTTAAAAGAGAAAAGTCAGAACAAATGCAAATTTTAGAAAGAGTCTAAACTTACCTGACATTTGGAAATCCATTCATCAAATTTTACCTTCTTCTCACTTCAGTATATAGTACACACACATACACACTGGCAAGAAAATTATAGCTTTCTTGTATCAAAAGGGACCAGGTATAAATTCCAGAGAGAATCTCTATTCTGGAATGAGATAATGGAACTGCTCTCCATTTTGTTGAGTCAGGCTTTTTCTTTCAAATCTTCATCTCTAAAATCATAACATTTGAAGAACAAATTTTTCAAGACTGAAATTTGAATTATCTGACTAGCCACATTAAAGATGTTCTATTGTTAGTGTACAGATGAAAATCAAAAAGTTCTGTTTGTAAAAGTCTTAATTACATGACTTTTATAAAGCTCCTCTCTTCTGGGATTTGACTTAAATCCATATATATATATATATATATATATATATATATATATATATATATATGCTCTACTTTGTATTGAACACTTTCGTAAAAATAGTGGTTTTGGTTATCAGAATTTTATTCCATCTATACCAACTCTGTATTCAGTTATATATATATATATACACTCACATACAAGTTTCATTAAAAACGACTGACAAGGTACTATGGTTAAGTTTTTTATTCAATTTTTCTTGTAATTTTTTTCTTTGTAAATTATGCAGACATTGTCCAAATGTTTTGTATGTTCAAGCACTTTCAGCTATACTTTTAGCCATTATCACAGACATACAAAACATTTGCATCCAGAAAAGAAGAAAATTATAAGAACACAAGAAAAATTAAATAAAAACTTAACACTTGGTACTATAATCAGCGTATTAATAAAACTTGTATAAAAATGGGATTTTAAATACAATGTTAAATATATATATATATATATATATATATATATATATATATATATATATATATATACTGAATTAAAAGAACTATCGAAGTTGTTATTAAGCCAACATCTCTTTTCTCATGAAATCATAGTTGTTACCTCCCAACAATTTTGATATCCATTTTGGCATTTGCACAAACAACCCCAGCTTTCAAATGTTGGTTAATAACAATTGTCTACCACTCCACAGAACCAATTTTTCCTTTTTAAATTCTCTAGAATTTTTCTTGATGGACAGGTCTACATAGAAAGTTGTGATGAAAAATATAGTAAAAATGAAAGAAAAAAAAACAGTCCTTTCACTTAATTTCTCATTTTGTTAAAAGAAAAGAAAAAAGAAGAAAAGAAAGACAGTTACTGTATATCAGCATTTCTAAAATGGAAAAAGAAAATCCAAACTCACTCAAGCCTTTCTGATTCAGGGACTGATTCGTTTACAATTCCATGTAGAATAGATGTACCACTCTCTCTCCCTATGTACCTGTGTTTGTTAACCATCACGTGATCAAAAATAAAGTAATAAATGATTTTGGTGATTTGTTTTTGTAAAATGTTCATTTTTATTAACACCTTAACTGTTTTATGTAACTTACATTACCTGCTGTCAATGTATATCAGTGATTCTCAACTACTGTTGTCTTATGGCCACATCATGTTGAAGAACCAGTACCCATACAATCACCAAAGTTAAGCAACGTCAAGCCTGGTCAGTACCTAGACGGGTAACTGCTTGGGAATACCAGGTGCAATAACCTTGGATTATGGATGATGGCTCGGAGTTGTTAACCTGAGAACCGAGTTCCAATTCCAGTTGGATTCATTATATTCACTTACATTCAAATACCCTCTTGACCTAGGGCAGCACTACCTCCTCAAGGCACTTGATGTAGGCTTCCATGTTGAGTCTGGCCCTCACCAACAAATTCTGGAGTTCTTTTCTTATCAGAATGATCAAAGTGAGTTTTCTGAGTTGCCATACCTTCATAATCACCATTACACTCATCCGACTCTTTCTGAATCCTCTGCACTATCCTCAGATTGATACCCAAACATTCTGAAATGTTTGTCGTGGAGCTTTCAGTGCAAATACCAAGCAGTACAGTCTTTTTTTCTCAGACGGTGCCTAACTTGCCCTACTATACTGTACGGTTGACAAAATAAAAAAACCACACACATATGCGAAATTAAAAATTTAAAATGGTGACAATTTACTCGCATGTTTTCAACACCTACTTGTCTTTCATACAATTTCATGAGGGGTAAGCAGAAATGACAAGTAAGTTACCTAAGAAGCTTGAATAGCAGAACATTAACAGATTTAATTTAATTTCTACAGGTTATCAACCTTTTACAAGTTATTTAAAGCCAGAATTTTTTTTACATTGTAAGAATATTTGGGAGATAATTATTTACTGATACAAGTACTACTAATTAACCCATAGCTGGAGGAGAAGAGGTGGATTCATACTTTTCCCAAGGGTATTTGCATGTCACTGAATATAGCAAACCCAACTGGAATTAGAACTTAGCCTGCCGATTTCCATTTCTGAACCATTATCCATTACACCATCTGCTTACAACATCTGGTATTCCCAAGCAGTCACCCATTTAGATACTGACCAGGCTCAGCCTTACTTAACTTTGTTGATCATATGAAAACTGGTGTTTCAGTGTGATATGGCCGTAAGCCAGATCATTAACCGAGAAGGATAGTATGGGAATAAACATTACTAAGAGATACAAAGGATAAGAAGTTAGGGAGAGCCATGATCACCCACATCCTGAAGGAATATGGCACATAAAAGATACATGCTCATGAAACTTACATTGCCAAATGATAACATATACAAGGTCTGATCAAAAATTATCAGGACTGTTACTATGGTAATGGTGCTAATGTATGCAGATTGAAGCTACTCAGTAGAGATAGACATTGAACTCTGTCACGCATGCACACTAAGTTGTCACTGGCTTCCATTGTTTATAGCAGTGCTTGGAAGGAAAGTGTGTAGAGTATAGTGGTCGCACTACACCACAGAGTTTCCATCAGTGACCATGGCTTGTGCAGCAGTTTGGGATCAAAGCACAACATTCCCCAGCTCCAACAACGACTATATTCCTCAGGTTTCACCCTTTACAATAGTTTCCTCTTCACAAATAAAATTCCAGTTGAAAGGAATAAGATTTCAAGACCTTCAGGAAATCCAAGAGAATACAATGAGGTAGGCTAGCCAAAAACAGGAGTTCCAGGATTATTTCCGTCAATGGAAACGACATTGGATAAAGTGTGTAGCTTCAGAATGGGACTACTTTGAAGGAGATTGAATCCCAAATTGATATGTGCAATATTTTTCCTTTTATAGCACCAATCCCCCATAATTTTTTGATCAGACCTCATATATGCATTTTCAAGACAGGCAGAAAGTATATATTTCAGTTCAATGTAATATTGTTTGTATTCAAAATAAACAGTTCAAAGTTTGTAAAAAAAAGTGTGTGTGGGTGTGACTTACATTGTGTTTAACATTTGAGTGTCTGTCGCTTCATTGTTTGCCGAGGTGAGTTTAGTTTGCATTGAATGAAAGAAATAGACGGTGGTTATGTTAAAAAGGATTTTTAACTTATATTCTGGACTTCAGTTGAAAGTTATTTTATGATGAGTGTCGTCACGTAGCTCGTTGCTTTTTTGGCTGATTTCCCCACCCCTGTTTATTAATTGTTTGTTGTTTATAGATGTCACGTGATAGGCTCCAGAAAATGTTTTAAAATTTTAGCGCAACTGGGACTTTTGATCAGGTCAAATTAAGGTCAGACGTAAAGACATAGTTGACGACATGCCATGTGATATTTTCGAACCAATCAAATTATGTTAGTTGTGTAATTTAATTTGGAGCTTATGTTTTGTTTAATTTTTTAAGTGTTGGGAACAGTATAGGATCTAGATCCTATATTATTCACATTTCGTAAGTGCGGGTGATATTTGAGGTAAATACAGTGTAACCCGGATATAAGAGAGTTGTCAAGACCGCAGAAGAAGTCTCTTATATCTGGGTTTGGTCTATTTTGTTTAGGTAAGTATGGGAACACTTTGGGACCAGAGAAAATCTCTCTTATATCCGGGTTTCTCTTATATCCGGGTTACACTGTACAAGGAATTTTTTTTTTTTTTTTCAATTTGAAAAAAAAGGAAAAACATCCGTTTTAGCTTTGTTTATCAGAAAGAGTCCGAACGCCAACCCCACACTTAGAAATAGCGCAGCTGAGTCACCTACATATTGGGTGATCGCAAATGTCAACCCAACTTGTGTGCAATGGAAGGGCCACGTTCTGGGAGAGTATGGTGTGAATATTAGTAAATATAAATTCTTTTTATTTGGTGATGAATTAATATTTTGTGGTGAATTAACAGAAAAAAGATATTTTGAGAGCTTTTTGGCAGACATTCTATCGGTCTAAAAATATGCTAGGTTATATTTTTGGATCGTGTGATTATTAATAATTATTAATTAAGATATGAAAAAAAATATTCTACCATTTCTTTAAGATAAATCTTCAGACTTTGCCCACTGATTTTCAATTTGTCTGCAAAGATCATGACCTCCATTTTGGAAAAATAAATCTTCTACAATTATTAATAGTGATGGCCAGTAAGAAATAATCCTGAGGAAAAAAAGTAAACAATATCAGGAAATTAACTTCATATTAAAATAGCCAAGTGCTGATGATATTTGAAAGTAAAGGAAATTACATTTTTTTTAAAGAATAGTGGAAACCCATTATCCTGTTACGAAGTCCCCGTTTGTTATTTAAAAAAAAAAAAAAACTTTGAGAAATGAATGATTACCGGTTTGTGATACTGGGATGTGTATATTATATTTTCAATGTATAAGTTTGTATAAGCTCACATAAATCGGTATTTTAAACAGAAAATTCAAAACAAAAATGGAAAGTCATATATGTTCTATTGCAACTTAGCTTGTTTGAAATGGCATTGCTTTCTTTTAGTAAATATTGGCTTAAACCTGAATTAACACTTCTGAAGTTTAGTGGCAGATAGATAGATAGATAGATAGATAGATAAAAGAGAAAAAATAAAAATAAAAACATTCTAAAAACTTATCTTTCCGGCTACAGTTTTTCGTATATAAATTGCTCGTCAAGATAAGTCAGATTTCTTTTACCATAACGAGTGATATATCTGCGAAATTTGAAAGTCGGAAAAATAAGTTTTCTTTTCAACCTTTTCTTTCTCTAACTGTTGTTGGTGTTTTGTTTTGTCTTTTAACATTCAGAAGTTTGTTTGTTTTTTTTTTTTGTTTTTTTTGTTTTTTTGCTTTTTTTAATTTTCCACCTTCAAACGCATTATACACCAGAAACTGAGTGGACTATGTGTTCTGTTAGGCGTTAACAGTAAAAAAGATATACATATATTTTTAGGATACCCTTTTTTGAGTATGTTGCGATTTTTTTTAAAGAGTTTATTTTATCTGCCGACCTACACTGCGTACTGGAGAAAAATTAACAAAGAAACTATTGCTTTATTAAGTTTTCTCAAGTACGCACAGGCTGGCAGAAGAAATAAATATTCACATACGTGTATATATGTATGCTTATACATGGTTATGTGTGTTTATATATATTTATATATTTATATATATATATACACACACACACACACATACATATATATATATATATATATATATATATATATATATCAGTCACTGCTATACGCTTAGCCGATCATGTATATTTTGATAAATGACTGACGTGGCAGATTTTTTTCCCATAATAAGAAAGAACATTAAAATTTATAATCAGGTGTTTTTAGCAATTATTTTTATAAAAAAAAAAAAACAGTGCTCGATACAAACAGTAGAGCATAGTGTGTGTGTATACATATGCATGTGTGTGTGTGTATACATATGCATGTGTATATATGTGTGTGTGTGCGTGTATACATATGCATGTGTATATATATATATGTATACATATGTATGTGTGTATATATATACTCATGCATATACATTTATATATATATATACACACACATGCATATGTATATATATACACATGCATATGTATACATACATATATTTAGATATAGATATATATACACACACATGCATATGTATATATATACACATGCATATGTATACATACATATATTTATATATACATATATATACGTATATATATACAAATACATACGTATATATATATACATATATATATACATGCATAAAAACATATATATAAAAAATCTCTCAGAGTTTACCTGTAGAAAAAGACAATAAATGTAAAAAAAAACTGTATTATTAGTCGACGCGTTTCGTCCAATGTGAACTTTTTCAAAGTAAAAATGAAATGAATTTCTTAAAAAAATAACTAATAATAACAAAACAAGATGTCCTTAGCAACTGGAAGAAAAATAGATGAAAATAGCGTTCTTTAAATACTTCCAGTTGCTAAGGACATTTTGTTTAATAAATTCATTTCATTTTTGCCTTGAAAAAGTCCACATCGGACGAAACGCGTCGACTAATAATACAGTTTTCCTGTTGTCTTTTACACACTCGGCTCTTCGATTCGTTAATCAGAGCCGCCATCCATTACTCCACCGTGCCTTGATCAATTTTATATGAGCTTTGAAGAGAAAGGTTCATGGTTCAAATCCCCCTACATACACAAATTTAATATTGATGTGGGAAATGTGAGAAAAGAAACTGTCGGAATAGAAGAGGCAGTTGTATTTAGCTATTTATACAGTAAACGAATGGGACCTAGATGCCAATCTAGTAACACAATTAAATACATGTAGTCGGGACACCAGGGAATGCTCGCTCCTTTGTTATTAAAGTTCGCAAAGAGATGGAAGCCACTGACACGGATTATACAGCAGTGGGCAAATGTAAAATGCCTACTGATGGTCATAATACCATCAGAATACGTAAAATTGTACAAAAAGTGCGGGAAAATGATCGTTAAGAACCCCATAATGTCGATTAACGCCATTACTCAGGAGATGTAGGTTTCAAGACATTCTATCGGAACAACTGTGCATGAGGACCTTCGATGCAAGGTATATTTGATGCGGAGAGGCCAATTCATGTCCGAAAAGACTAAAACTAACCGTTTGATGTGCGCCGAGCGCTTGTTGAGCCAGTTGAAACATCAAGAGCCTGGAATGCTTTACTCTTAGAACCAAAAGTTCAATCGATGGAATGACAGATGGTCACGCAGAGACCACGGAGGAGGTTCCAACTGTCCTGCACCCAAAGTTTCTGGCGTGACCATGAACGGAGATATATCGCTTCACATCTTTCCTCAGAAGTCAATGCTACTGACTATGAAGAGGTGTTGGAGAAATTTGTGAGGTCTTGGATAGATAGCATGGACAAAGGAAGACTCTACACCTACCATATCTTTTATCCACAGTGGATAAAAGCGTTGGTTGGATCCAGTGACTTGACCCAAAGAGTTGTGAGTTCAATACCTGGCTACTGCAGTGATAAACAAAAACGGAGGTTGAGTAAAGGGGAGATAACGGGGCGTACGGAAGAAGCATGGCACGTGCAGCTAGGACAATCTACCCCGGTGGAAGGAATAAAGAGTTCGATTCGAGATTCCAATCACCTGAAGAAGGCCGGGGCGTATAACCGCCAAAACGCCGTGAATGTGGCAACG